TAATTATGACGTTTTTTATGCTTAAAACGATTCCAAATGTAGTCCAAAATTGAAAGGTTTAGTTAGTTTGGATAATAACGGTCTACTCACAGAGGGGGGAACCAACTAAGCGGGTCGTGAATCGTAAGCAACAAACTTTAAGTTAACCCAGAACGCGTCGTCACACAACAAAAGCAACAACAAAAAGCTTCACCGAAAAGGTAGAGAAACACCTGCGACAGATAATGAACCACAACTAACTTAAGATAATGACTTAATCATCACTTCTTATACCTTGCCACATTCAGTTTTTTTTTCCTGTGGGGCTGCTCCAAACTGAGATTACAGACCAGTGCAACTCTAAATGAGAAATGTATGCACCATAGTTGCAGTTTGAAGGAAAATAAACGGAAGCACTTGTTTACAGACACAAAAAAAATTCCACCCACCTTTGTTGTCTCTCTTACAATTTCTTTTTTTATGCATCCACCATATCAATAGAAAACAACCGCAAAGTACCCCAGCGGCTAAACCAATGACAAGGCCAATTGCAAGCATATTTTCTGGTAAACCAAAGGAACCACAGAAAATCAACTTGTATCATAGTTTTGAGAATTGTGAATTGCAAAATAGAAAGGAGATTCATCAAATGCGTTCTTGTGATTAAAATGTAATCATTTAGTTTCAAACTCTTCAAATTGCCTGTGACACGAACTTTTTCTTTTTTTATTTGCGTTTTCTGGTTAATAGTTGTAATTTAACCGCCTCCCGGTTAGCTCAATTGGTAGTACGCCGGACTGTTGTGCGGGAGGTCGTGAGTTCAAATCCGGCCGGACCAACACTCAGGGTCTTTAATTAAATTATCTGAGAAGAAAGTGCTGCCTTTGTAATAATATCTGCAAATGGTTAGGCTTTCTAGTCTTCTCGGATAGGGACGATAAATTTAGGTCCCGTCTCCTGCAGGGTTGGGGTAGGAGACGTTAATTTCCCACACACGAGATTACTGTGTGATGGATGTCCTCCCCGGGATGGGATGGGTGGGTAAAATAGGGGTTAGGTGTCAATTGGAACGAAAGTTCTGTTCCTTTCTCCTGCCATTCCTGTGACGAATAGATTAAACTTAAACTTAAACTTCAACTTTTGCTAGGATCAACAGATATCTAATTCAGATATGAAAAGGATATAGGTTCAAACGAAAGAAACTGCACTTTACCTTGCCAAGTGATGATGCTCTTTTCGTGAAGAATGCAGAGCAGCGTGAATCAGGAATAAGTTGAAGATGTCCCGCTGTGTCAAAGAAGAACCAAAGAGATGTTGCCACAAGTTGCACAAATTAATGACAATGAATTGCAATGAAATACACGAACCTGTGCGTTACTGGGGGGTTACAACTGTTGC